CACTCGACCCCCAGATTCCAACATCATTGTGGCGATACAACCGGACAGTAACAGCCAAACTCCAGCCCCATTCAGTCGAACAGTCCTCCATCCGCACACCAATGTGCATCCATCCGGGTTGAATAACCAAACGCGTCTGCCAAATTCTGCATCAACCACGCACCAGCAAGAAGATCGTGTTCCGCCCCCTCAAAACTACCGTTTGTCTGTATCCCAACCTCAATCAGTCTTGGTCCATCAAGCCACAATTGCCAACCGGGTGCCACCTCCCCAAACCAATACCTTGGCTCCCTTGCAAGCTCGCTCCCATCAGCCCAGTCAATCAGCCGACCCCAGTTCAGCTTCAGTTCATCAGACCACAATCTCCAACCGGGCCCCACGTTCCCAACTTGATTCTTCAGCTACATCGCAAGCTCAGTCCCACCAGCCTGGTCAATCAGCCAACCCCAGTTCAGCTTCAGTTCATCATACCACAATCTCCAACCGGGCCCCACGTTCCCAACTTGATTCTTCAGCTACATCGCAAGCTCAGTCCCACCAGCCTGGTCAATCCGCAAAATCCAGCCATCCCTCCCTTGACAACGACATCAATTTAGCGGGGATAATGTCTGGGTCGATGGACAGCGGTAAGGAGGTCGTTCGTTCATTGACTGAGGACGAAATGATGCGATTTAAGGACATGAATCTCTCGATCCTCCGTCAAATTGCGTCTGACAAACCCCCACGTAGCAGAATGACTGCAGAGATGAAGAGTGAACTGGACGACCTATATTACGAATTCCAGAGAGAGCTCCACAAGCTTTCAATCAAGCATCAAGTCGGGCCGCACCTCTGCTTTGCTCATCTTGGGCAGTCAAAAAAGGTGAAGGGCGGCTCCACATGGAATAACTTTCAGCAGTACGATCCCGAGGCGCTGGCACTCTTTGATGAATGTTAGTTTCCCTTTGCTTGAATGTCCTCCGGTCCTTGCTAGATTTTACTATACTAAGCTCACATTTGGGTCCAACTTTTTGTTTTGCCAGTTGGAAAGGATGTTGGCGGAGATAAGGTAGCGGAGCTATGGAAAACGAAAGACGATGCAACGAAAAAGTTATATAAAGACATCGATTTTCTCATCAGTTTGACCGAAGAAAATGCTGATGCCATTGCTGCTGCACAAGATAACGTTTACTCAACAAATGGGAGTCGATTGCGATCAAAAACGATGGTTTCCTCCTCACATGTCTCTCAGAAGAAAACGATGACTATGGTTAGCAACTGGGTCCGTAAAACAGAAGCCGATGTGAGCCTATATGCCAATGCTGACTCTCACTCATAAATAGCTGACCCAAACTTTTGACCCAGTTGAAATCCATGGCCTTCTTCCATCAAGTTGAAGGCTTTTTTGTTGTAGCTTCCCGCCACCCAAAAAGTACAATCTTTGAGAAAGGTGGATCGGCCCTAGGCTACAACTTTCTTGAAATGATGGCCGATAAGGAAGAGAAGGACACTGCGGGGCATTTTCATACCTGGGTTGCTGCAAAAGCTATCCAAATCATTAACGGCATCCGAGTAGATCCATCGAAATCCATGAAACGAAAGGCGATCACTTCCACAAACGATAAAACAAATGCAGCCAATGAATTTGATATGGGTAAGTCATTTGTCTGTTGAAGGCTGTCCATTGAGCTGAATGTGTTTGTATTTACATGTAGGCACGGTCGCTAAAAATGTTCATGCCATTCGGGAAAAGCTAAAGGAAATGATACGTAAGTGCACGTCTTCTCAGATCTTTCTCAACATGTGATCAGTCAATAATGGCCAGGTGTTCTACATTGTTGGTTAGAATCGGCAAGTGGCAACAAGCTATGTTGCGCCTGGCCAGCGACGGATTCCGTAAACAAGTTAAAGGAGTTGAAGCTCAAACTCCATGTCAAGAATAACGACTGGAATATTGTGCCCAAGGACTTATTTCAACCGCTTTCCAGATTGCACGAGGGTCCGGCCAAAGGCATACTTGCTTGTTTAAACACCAAACGAATTCTCATCACCTACCATGGGAATGAAGACTCTGAAGATGAAACTACTGATTCGACCGAAACAGAATCCGATTCAGATGATGAAACCGATACTACAGAGGACGAGTCAGACAGCACCAAAAGTAGTGTCGAAGTCGATAATCCACCTCCTAAGAAGCGTGCCCGCAAAAACAGCAAGACTGGATCATCCAAGAAGAAGTCCGGCAGCTCCAAGAAGAAGTCCGGCAGCTCCAAGAAGAAGTCCGTCACCTCTAAGAAGAAGCCCGTCACCAAAAGCAAATCTGCCGTCAATAAGAAATCGACCAGCTCGAAGCAAAAGCGTACAAGTGCCGCAAGTACCAATCAAAACAGCGACACTGTTACAACTCAAAACAGCAACACCCTTACAACTCAAAACAGCGACACCCTCGACCCCAGAAGTAGCTTAGCAGGCATCTCAGGTGCTCAAGAAGGGGGTACTGGTTTGGTCGGAGACTCTCAAATTCAATGTTCCATTGACCCTCTGCTGGAGACGCTTGCTTAATTCGCTGGACGCGCTTCCATATATTTTCTCTGTCTCACTGCTTTTGTAATCGAAATCTATATTCACATCAATATACACGTACACATACACATCATACAACAAACAACCATCGATGTTAGGTAGTTAAATATTTTCTTTTCATCTCTTTATATTTGTGTTCGCATACTTCAAGTCTACACTTCTACAATGCGAGTCCACAATAAATCATACCTACAACATCTTTTCTATCATATACTGCCACCTGTTACTACACCGCAGTCCCCTCAGCTTCTGTTTTTTTGAGAACCAGCAATGAATGATGCAATGTTTTTGTGATCTTCTGCTTGTGTGTGTTGAAAAAATCATTTCAAATTTTGGCAAAAACATGTACATCTCCGAGCATGTTGAGATTTTGATCTCTTGAGTACACAGAAGATTCATCGAAGTGATAAATCAAGTCCGCTCATGGTTTTTGAGAGGTGCCGACAAAAAAAGATTATGAAAACAACAGATGGAATGAATGATGGAGAAAGTGATAAGTATGTATGTGAGAGATGATACGGTTAAGTCGCTGAGTTGGATAGAGGCAAATATAAGGGTAGTTACGGGATGAGTGTTATACGTGTTATATATGTGTAAGGGTCTTCGCTTATGTGTAAGGGTCTTCGCTTTTAAGGGTCGTCTCGGTTCAAGGGTGACAGGGGGGGGGAGCGAGCTGAGGTGGGACTTGGCTGAATCGGAGGACTTGGTCGAGTGTGGAGGGGGGAAGGGGGATAGAAGAGGAGCGAATTGGCGAAGTTCGCGAAGTTCTACTTTTTGCGGCAGTCCACCCTCGCGGGACCTCTCTCGCGCGGGCTGGACATATGCTTTATAGGGGTTTTATGGGGACATGTCAGGTGCTGATCCGCCATTTCAATCAATGAACGCCGCATGACGAGGGCTTTGCAATCTTGTGTGCTACAACATCTGGTGATGGTTTCTCCTTCCGGGACCTTTTTGATCAGTTATATAAGCCTAGTTTCGAACATGATAGACCTGATAGACCCCACCTCCAAAAAACGCTCGAACTCAATCGACAGAAAGACAACGAGGCGTGAAGAATGAAGTCGATTTCGATCTTACTGATCGTTTGTGCCTTGGCTTGCTTTTCGGCTTATAGCAATGGTAAGCTCACTTCGTTTCAATTCAAGCTTCAAAAATTCTTGCCTTCGATTGCTTGGGTCGTCCCAACCCCTGAGCTTCAACTGATTGCGCCCATAGAGGAAGTGAAGTGAAAAAACGCTTATGTTAATCATTATCGCTTGTCCATTAATGCCCTAGCTTTAGTGCTTCGTTCACTTTCTCGTGCACTTTCTTTCGATGACCTCAAGCTATCTAACACTGGAACTCGACTTCCTCGTCCTAGCACGCAGGCTTTCCCCGCTGGGCTTCCTCTCCGACCTCACAGTTCGTTGAACCGAGATGATGACGTCCCTCTTATCCACCATCCCCCACCTGCCCCCCATAGCCAATCTGGCGGGCTACATGCGGGTAGGAATTGGGGTGCTAGTTTAACCCCGGCGGGCGATGATGAAGGACGCACCTACGGTTAGAATAGACCTTCGATATCTGCAACCCGTTCAGCTTTTCCGATGACGTCTCAGCACTCCATATCTTGCCAAACAACCCCCCCCCCCCCCCTAGTAGCTATCTATCGAGTTCTCGTAGTCGTCGGTCTACGCTTTGTCCCTCCTTCATATTATCTTCTAATTGGCACTAATATTATCCATCCGCTCAGAAGTTAGCATAGATTATTCTTTTTTTCCTGCCTTAATTTAAATCCGCTTGATCGATCCAAAAACCCAAGGACCTTCATTCATAACTATTTTCTATACGGCTGAATAAAATCAAACATGTTTCTCGTTTATCTTTTGGGAGTTGAAAAAATGACTCCCAACTTTTGGCAAAACGACTCTCAAAAGTTGGCAGGCATCAAGAGAGTTGGCTCTTGGCAGACCAGGGCCTGCATTTCTGGGAGTTGGCCTCCTGACTCCCTCAGAAAGATGGGATCCACAACCTGAGAGGAAATCCCTCTTCCCAAGCAAGTCACAAATCAACAGCCTTCTTGATGATCAAGTCAATGACCTGACCAGCAATGGGCCACTACTTTATTAGGGGGGGGGGGGTTGGGGGGGATTCACAATAGCTTTTCACCAGAATAGTTTTATTGTCCCACCAGAATGGTCAGCATGCTTTGCAGAGTCAAATTTTAGACAATCTTTAACAAAGCAGAAGTGATGCACCAGTAGCTTTTTTGGCTTCTGCCAGAAGCCAAAAAAGCTATTGTGAACCCCCCCCCCCCCATATTGGTGTTGTTATTTTATTTTATTGTATTGTTATTTTTGTCCACTACACTACAATTGACAAAATACTGTTGTCTGTTTTTTTATTATTTTTTGCAGATAACCAAACTTCTTGTTTTTCTATTTTGGAGGGGGATGTTATTTTATTGTTAGTGCAGTCCAAAAATCATAAGGTAAAAATAACCCAATTCAACTTGGGCTTTTTTTTATTGCTGTTATATCTGGAACAGCCTCAATAAAATGTCAAAGATAATTGGATTAAATACCAAGAAAAAAGATGAACCTCTAGAGGTCCCTTCACATATCCTTGGTCTATCCTCCTTGCCTCCTTTCTGTAAAAATACATTTTGCCTTCCTATCAAGGATTTTGTCCATGCCTCTATACTTCTTATATCATTCTGCATACTCAAAGTGACCAGAATTTGGTTTGATGATGTGCTCACCTGTCTATATATCCTTTGTTCTTCCCAGATGATCAAGATAGGAAATTCCCTTGAATGATAACTATTTAGGGAATAAGCCCCTTGTATTTGGTTCCCTTGGGTAATAATCAATTCAATGAAATCAGTGGTTTCAACTCCCAAAATGAAAAAATGAAGACAAGTAAAATTTTAGACTGGTTGCTGTGGAATGTTTAAATTGTTTTGAAAGATTGGATGATTTTTGATCTCCTCCAAAAGTTAAAAAAAATGAGGTTTGAGACATTTGGAATTCCTGTTTGAATCAAGACTTGTCAAGGTTGAATTCAAGAGGTAACTGGTGTTATCAGGTGCCCTTTCTAGATGCACTGGTTCCTTCATGTAGCAATCCCTCTTGATCATGATCAGTGCTAAAACAGCTTCCTCTAGGTTGCTGTAATTGCTTGATGCTTTGCCCAATCTTTTACAGAGGGACAAATCCAGCTCTTTGGAAGGGATTCCTACTGAAAAGCTGGGTTCAAGAACAGCTTGCTGGGAGGAATCCCTCCTGAGTCCCAAAGATCTTGTACATAATCCAGCTCCCTGGGAGAGATTCCTCCCAATGAGCTGGGTTTAGTACTAGCTTGCCAGGAGGGGATCCCCCCAACAAGCTGATACACAATCCGGCTTGCTGGAAGGGGTTCCCCCTGACAATCTGGGGCCAAGACCAGCTCACCAAGACAAATCCGTCCCAATGAGCTGCTAAGAGCATCTCCAGCAGAGCCGCGACTGGGCGATTTTCAGCCCAAATCAGCGGCTCACGGGAGAATTTTGGGGTCCAGCAGAGCCGCAAGTAGACCCGCAACTGATCGCCCCCCACCTTGCCCCCGGCTATAAACCCAAGGCAATAGCCGCCTTGGCAGAGACCGGCTACTCGATCCTCACTGTTTTTCTCACAACACACAACAACATGACAACCACCATGATGCTTGATTGACTACTTCACCACCTAGCCACACCTCCCCCACAGCGGTCACTAGTGGCGACTTGGCCAATTGCCAGTCTGCTGTGGGAGCAGTGTGACAGAGCTGAGACAGGGGTGTGATATGTGGTCGCAGGCCGCTAATCGGACAGAAATCGACCCCGGCTCTGCTGGAGATGCTCTAAGGGAGAGGTTGCAATTGCTGCTCATCCCTCTCCTTGCTGATATTTTTTCAAAAATCAACAGCTTGAGGGCTGTGCACCTAAAACCTCCCAAAAAAAGGAGAGGGTTTGATTGCATGCCCCTCTTCCTGCTGATTTTTGAAAAGAATCAGCAATTTGAGGGGTGTGCACCTAAACCCGCCCAAAAAAGGGGCAGGTTTTTTGCACACTCCTTTTGGAGGGGTGGGTAGGGGGAGGGAGTGTGTTCATCAATGCACAAGAAATATTTAGAGGTGTTTGAAACTATATTGGAAAGGAGTACTTGTTAAGATTTGAGTGTGATACCTCTAGACTCAAGCCTCTTGCATCATCACTGCTTTAATTTTCTCAGTCTCTTATCAAATGAAATCATTGACCAAAACACTCAAGATTTGTTTGATGATTTCATCAGTCCAAACTTCAATCAAAGCTCACCTATCAAATACTGAAACCCTTGACTTACTCTATCTGAAACTCTCTTCTGTGTGGAACTTTTGGTTGACAAATCACAACCTACATATCTCTCCATCCTATTCTTAACATCATCAATCAATCCTTTCCTGTTCTGCTGCCTGACAAGCTTACCATCAAATTTCCTGCTATATTATCTGAAACCACTCTTCCCCTTCCTTCAACAAACTTGCCAACAAAACCTTTTCTCCTCTTCTAAATCTCTCTCTCATTGATCCTTAAGAACACTCCGCTTTTATCATCATTGATTTGTAGATTAACTCATATCTCTCTTGGTTTGGTTCTATGTTCCACACTCATTAACCTCCCTTCCTTAGCTTGTACTTTTCTTTTTTCTTTGGTTCTTCTTACTTGCTGTGATTCATTTCAGATTGATGTTTGCCTTTAGGTTGGTTCACTTTTCTTTTGTTCTTTTTATATTATGTATTTCTTCTTTTGTCTTATCTTGTAACTCATCAGAAATGCATAAACTTTAGTTTGATCATTCACAGTACTAGTGTGCAGCTGGTGTGTGAGCCAAGTCTTATCAATTTGGCCATAGGTTGGTTTCATTTGGGCAATTTTACATTTTTGGGAGATCTTATTATCCTTGAGTGGGTACTTGTGTGGATTATTTGTGTTTCAAAATTGTTTGAGGGCCTGGAAAATATCTTGAGGTTCATTGAGTCTGTGCATCCTGTGGTCTTGCTGCCATTTGTTTGGGTCAAAAGACAAAATCTCTTGGGCTGTTGCACCTGTTCTATTCATTACCAGAGCTGAGATTTCAGCTAGGCAGCTGAAAAATTATGATCTCCAGCTTCATAGGTTCAGATATCATGAAATTTTTGTCTGCCATGGTGTATCTCACTGAGATGAAAGTCTGCCCATGGGCAGATCCTGATCTTGAGAATTTGATATTCATGTGTCTCCAGTGGCACCGTGGGTCTGCAGTGGTGAAGCCAACTTGGCCTCTAGTACTTAAATTACACAATCACCACCAGGAAAAAGACAATGAACAGTTGATGACAAGTGAAAACAAGCAACGGTCAAACATATACAATAAAATAAATTATTGCCCAATATTTTATATGGTATTGGTGTCCAGATAAAAAGTATCTTCAATAAATATATTATATCTGTTTGCCAATAAAATAAATTTGTATTTTATTGGAAACAGATAAATTTTATCTGTTTTGAATATATTGTATTGGCCAATAAAATAAAATATTGGCACAGTATCACAGGTATTCAATAATTTCACTTTTTTTTTTCTTTCTTTCATTTTTCCTTTCATTTTTTTCATTTTTTTTTCATTTTTTTTTCATTTTTTTCATTTTTTTCATTTTTTTCATTTTTTTTTTTCATTTTTGTTTTCATTTTTTTCATTTTTTTCATTTTTTACTTTTTACTTTACTTTTTACTTTTTATAGGAAGTTAGAGATGGCCAAAGGGTATCCGTCGCAGATACCTGCTATCCCCTGGCGGATACCCGCCAGCGGGTGCAGATTTGGGTGCGGATGGCCCCTTTTCCGCAAAACACTGGCGGGTATCCGGGTATCCCAAAGGATACCCGAGGCCAGAAGGACATACTTCCAGTCAACGAGGTACATGTACCTTGTCAACCGGAAGGAAACCCTCCCAGCCAGCGAGATACATGTACCTCGTCAACCAGAGGGTTTCCTCAGTTGACGAGGTACATGTGCCTTGATGGCTGGAAGGAAATCCTTCCAGCCGTTGTGCATGTGGCTTGCCGTCTGGAAGGAAACCCTTCCAGCTGGTCCCTTGCCTGCCCTTTAAAGGGCGGGTATCCGGGGATACCCGCTAAGGCGGGGGGATACCCGCTGGCAGATGCGGATGCCGGTTTCCCTAGAAAAAGCAGCCGGATATCCGGATGCAAAGCGGCAATCTCTAGAGGAAGTCGGGTCCAGGGCAGAGGAGAGCAGGGGAGACTGTTCAAATAATCAGGGCTTGTGCTTGGCCTTCGGCATCCGCAGTTGTGGGCTGAATGGTGCTGGCAAATTAGATGGACTTGCTTCATCTATCTCTAGTCTGACCATCATTGTCTCTTTGATCAATCAGATATATTCCATCACTAATGAGAGTGGAGCCCATTGGACTAGCTGTTCCACCAATCCACCCACAAAAAAATAAAAGGGCAAACATCAGGTCAGCCTTTGATGATTGTTATGATTCAACTATGATGTGTGCTCAGAATAGAGGATATCAAGGTGCAAATGGGAGACTAGTGGCAATCTGAGGCTTGAATTGACCCTAGCGAGCCAGCAAAGGGCAATAATGATTGTTTTTTTGTGACATCAAAGTGGATTGCAATGATGAATGTTGGAAGGGGAGGGGCATGTTGGTGCAATTAGAAGCATACGAGCCATGAAAGCCAATCATCATAGTATCATGTGAAGAATACCATGGATGGTGGATTGGATAGACGGGAAATCTCAAAGAAAAAAGTAAGAAAATGATATGAGATAAACAGACAAAAAATGAAAAAAAATGAAAAAAAAATGAAAAAAAGAAGAAAAAAAAAGAAGAAAAAAAAAATGATAAAGAAAAAAAAAAAATGAAAAAAAATGAAAAAAAATGAAAAAAAAAATGAAAAAAAATGAAAAAAAAATGAAAAAAATGAAAAAAATGAAAAAATGAAAAAAAAAATAAAAAAAAATAAAAAAGAATAAAAACAGGTTTTTGAAATCCACACTGATAATTTTGAAGTATATTATTTTATTTTATTGGCTGAGCCAATAGATTAATGATGAATAAAGTTTATTTTATTGGCTGCCCAATACATGTGCCCACGAATAAAAATTATTGGGCCAAGGGCCCAATACTATACTTAGCCCAAATATTGGGTGGTATTCATAGGCAATACCACCCAATATCAATACTCAGCTAATATCTGTTTGACCGTTGAAACAAGCTCACTCCAGCACACTATCCATTACATATCCAGCTCAACTCTTACTCAGCCCACTGTAGTACACAAAGGGGCCATTGTATTTGGTCAACAACAGAGCTGGAGTTACATGGGAGCAGCAATAAATGTTCCATGATATCACTTGACATCTAGTGAGCATCAATTTTTACCTGTGACAGCATGACATAAACTATGACTCGTGAGGAAGAAAAAGAAACAGACAAGCAACTTTAACAGAAAGGCAAAGAAGTTTAAGAAATTAAAGCACACTACTGGCACCCTGATAATGGCTAAGAATGAAAACACTCTTATGATATGAACATAGAAGCATCATTTGTTTAGCGACTAGGGGATCAAACTAGTTTATCGCATCATTCATTTCTTTCAGTTGGATAATTGAGAATCATGACAACATGTTGATATTCTTTTGATAATTTTCCACTTTCTTGTTTTTTTACCTCTCCAAGCTTGTTGACAATGTATTTGGTTTGCTTTATAATTGAAGATGTAAGAGTATTTTTTGAATTTTCTTCTAGATTGAAATCAAATACTGAGCCTGCATGCCTTTTGTTGATGTCTGTTAAAATGATATCATTCATTTTGTAACATGGATTTGGAATTTTATAAATCTTATCCAAAGCCAGAAGTTTTAATAGTTCACCAAATCTGGACCACGCTGACTTCAATGCATCAGAATAAAGCATCATGGCATCCTCAATGGATTTGAATTCAAGATAAACAGGTGACTTTTCCAAACTCCACTCAGTTTTCAGTGGAGAATACCTTTGCATGTGGTGTAGCATGCTGAGCAATATCTTTGCAAAAATTATTTGAGAAGAAAGATCAAATGTTGTTAATTTTATTTTGCAAATTTGATTCATTAATCTACCTGCCATATTCTTCAAGTTTGTTTCAATCGAGCCATCTGCAAGTAGTTGAGATTCAGGTGAAGTAATGTGAATGAATTGTGCACCCAAATATTTGACTTGCTCAACAAAAACAGGTTCAAGCTTTTCATTCCACACTTTTCCATAAATTTGGACTCCCAAGTGGTTACGTGATAATTTCATCCAAGTCTCTTTATCCAATACTAATTCAAAATCAGGAAGGAAGTACATGATGTTCATCAGTATCCACATGAGAAGAAACTTAGCATAAAATCATGGCAAGAGAACTTAAGAAAACCCTAAAAGTGTTCATGACTGACATTTCAGGAAGTCTTGAATTTCTTCAGTGAAGAGACTTCCTTCAAGAGTATCTTGAAACATAGCATTCATACAGACTTGTGTGATAAAGAGACTCCCAAGAGATGTTCCCCCAAGGTAGTGAGAGATAATCAACCAATGGTCTTTGTGATTTATGGAAAGTCTTAAAGAATCTGTGTTGATCAAGCCATATCTTGCTGAAATAGAAAAGTGAGTAATCAACAAGTCACTCAAGTGCAAACAAACTCCATAGAGTTTTATATCATGTTTACGTTCTGCATCTAAATCTTCATCTTGAAAGCGCTTATCTTTCTGCTGTAATAGTGCTGAGATTTTCTTCCAATTTCTAAAAATATTTGACAGTTCTAAATCAGTGGCTTCTTTTGAATACTGGCCCTCTGTTTGACCCCTGTGTTGAGGAGAAAGTCTTCTGAGGCCATTCCATATTTCTCGAAGGAGAAAGTGAAAATCTCTATAAGCATTTTGTTTCAGTGGTAGCCTCAAATCCATGAAAAGATTGCTGAATTTCCTCCATACTCTCTTCTCAAGTTCTTCATTTATAATTTCTGGTTTTGTTAATAAAAATTCCAAATTTGAGCTTTGATGGATGCACCTAAAGTTAAAATGAAAAAAACAATAATGGAACTGGATTCACCTTGTGGCTGAACATCTGACACAGATTGCAAGAATCAGGAAAATTAAACTGTGTTCTAAACATCTGCTCACAAGATGAATCAGCCTCCTCAGACTCACTTTTTGGTTTCAATTTCTTCTCTTTGAGTGATTTGTCTATATTTTCTTCATCTTGAGAGTGCTTTCCGCTTATCTCTAAGGTTTCATTTGTGAAAATCAGTAAAGATTGCAATGATGTATTGTTACAAACCATATTGTGAATCAAGGCTTACTTTGACCAGTTTCCAACCAGGAAAAGTACTCTTCATCACCATATGAAAGTTCTGTGGACACTAAAAAAAACCACATCAACACCAGTTACCTCTTCTGACATCCATCATCCAAATAGGTCAAAGGTGCCTCCCTCCTTCTTTGCCCACATACATTTTCTTGATTTCAACAAAAAATCATAGTCTTTGAAGGCAAGTTCCAAGGTTTCTTCTGTTGATGGAAAGGCACAGTTACTTCTGCCTATCAACCTTAGTGGGCTGATAAGGAGAAGCCACATTTTGAAATATGAAGCATACATTCTATCTGTAGGAAATGTTTTAGGATATGAGTAGTAGTCAACTGAGAATTTTACTATGGCCTGCACTGGCTAGTTTGATATGCAACAGATGTGTGTTGGATGCAGATGGGAGGAAATGGTGATGCCCAGTCGTAGGCTTTTATGTGCTAGATTTAAGCTCTGGTTTTCTAACGGAATATAAATCCATCAACTAAGCTTTTGGCGATATTCCCTCTTCATAGGATCTACGCTGACCAAAACTGTCCCACGTATCCGCGAAGAACTGTCCATACCGGAAACTACGGCCTAGCACTGGCGTAGGTTGAGCCGAGGGTGTGTGTCATCTCGTCTGTACTCCGTTTTGACCACAACTGCAGCCTCAGGTACTAATTGAGAGCAGGGCTTCCTGCACAGTTCTATTTCTTGACAAACATCACGCAGCATAGCACTCAAGCTTGTGCCGGCTCTGTATTTCCATCATCTCTCTCGCGTGACATGTGGGGCACCAGGAGGCTATCATGAAACGATTGATCAATTGACGGGTAGTCGAAGGTCTGTCCTCCGTCTCGACCAAAACCTCACGGGCGAGCATATATTCAACGTATACATGAGTACGGGACTTCCCGTAGCGTTCTATTTCTTGACAAACAGCTCGCAGCACATTACTTAGGATTGCGCCGGATGCGTATTTCAATCGGGTACGTCGGCACCAGAAGGCCATCAAACAATTGATCAATTAATGGGTAGTGAAAACAACATATGATACATTTGACTGCGAAGTGAGTGTTGGTTGGCAGGAGGCAGAGCCAGCAGTATGTGTCTGACAACAGCAGGGTGACTCGGTGAAAAGCGAGCCCCTCTCTCGTTGAAGAAACACGGCGGGGCAAGTTAGAGTCTGTTGGACGCCGGAACTGTGTCGGATCCCGAGGCGTACCGTGGCCCGGCCGAGCTATGACATCGACGCCCCCATGTGCGCTCCAAGGAAAAATTGGTAGGGGCATACCCAGACAACGTACATGCTCCCGTGCGGCAGGGATTATACATAGTCCCAGAAATTATTTCAGGGTCGATTCACCTGGGAGTTTCGATTCATCTCCCTGCTTTTAAACATAACTCACTTAGGTGACCAGGCACTATTGTAGACGTTTCAGAGGGCAAGACAGAGGGTAAGAAGGGTAAAGAGCACACACACGCGTCTTACATAAATAAATGGCGTCACGCCAGAGATCTGCTGAAAGGCATGAAGAAGAGGGATATCACTGAGGACTGGAGTCGTGAGGATTCCGGGTCTCTGGCTCATCAATGGGTTATCTTGACGGATTATTGAGAGGGGGTGGCATTGGTTGTTATATGTAGATGTCCCGGGCTTGTGTGGTGATCCGGGCGCCCAGCTCTTTAATGAAGGGGAAAAGTGAGATCGCTGGGGATGAGAGCCGAGCGAAGCGCCGGGTTGGATGCAAACAAATTCGCGACTTCAACACAAAGGCACTTTACCGACCTGTTTGCGTGGTTGATAGGAAATCGAGGATAGGCGACGGCACGCGAAACATGGGCAGTGGGAAGAACGAAGATATAGCCAGATTGTTCTAGAGATGATGGATGTGCTGATGTGTACTGCTCCCATTAATGGCGTTGCTGAATCCACTGAGCTCGGTTGAGAGGCGGCTGGCGCGGAGAGGATGGGGGAAGCAACGAAATGAAAGGGGTCTTCTGAATTCCCGCTGGTACATATGCGTAACGGACGACGACCGTCGGCAAGTCTGGGCGATTGTATAGCGAAACTGATGAATTGTAAATATGTTGTATTACCGAGAAAGCTTTGAAAGGGGTTGTTGCCTACCCTAGGCATATTTAACATGTCCATCTGTATCAGTCACTTTGTTGCCCCCAAATTTCATCCCGACTTGAAGAATTTCCCCACTAACCAAGAATGCGAAAAAAGCTGCTCAGGCTTCGGTTCTAACTGTCATGTCGGAAATGTCCACAGATCATTTGAAGTGAATTTTGGATCGGTGAGCATTAATGGGGACATACGCATACACTTGCTTCATCTCTATAAGCCTATCCTTTACTTAGTCTCTATGGTGACTAACATCCTTCGCTGAAGTTTTCGCAAGGGTTTAACCGATCAAATTGGGTCGTAAAGGGACGGAGGAGCCGACGGTTTCTGTCCTCGAAGTTCGAAACGAGCCCCAATTATTCCCTTCTCTTTCTCAAAAGTTTGTTTCAATTTAAGCGAATACCATTATTGTCTCATCGACGCCAGCAATCAGACACATCTTGATCTTGAGCCTCGGAGATATTTTTTCTTTCTTAACTTGACGGCTTCGTTCCTTCGACAACTGTGCTTGTTAGTCTTAACCGGCTCGTAACGGCGACTATCAACGATCGCATCGACTCCGATTGTTATCTTCAAGAACCGTATTATTCGCTTTTCATTCAATCTACTTGTTGTCCGGGAAGACATCCTTCAGCAGTCGATTTCCGTACCAAGACACTCTGGTTGTCAGATATCCTTACATATTTTCGCCATCACAGCGCCCCGTCTTTGATCAAAGCCACTTCAGTTGAAGACTTGAAGACCCCAAGCAAAACACACCTTTTAATTATCAAGCACTCGGTTTGCTCGCATCTTACCAATACCAGACCAGCTGGCCGACTGGCTCTACCCTATTGTTCTGTTTGCCGCACTTGGCACACCAGCCTGCGCTGGATTCCAGTCTCCATATTCAATTTCCATAGCCGTCATCAGCGTGTAGCACTAGCAGCCCTCGGCCATCCCCTTCAACCAACCCAGGAATTCTTCTCCCCCGATGGCACTCGCCTTTTTCAGCGCACCAGCCCTGCCAGGACTCTGGGGCTTCGGCAAGGCCGCCGAGGCCTCGGATGACTCCAAGCCCCGGCCGGAATCGATGAGTGCTGAGGCAGTTATTAAATGCAGTGATTGCGGGGGTGATGTCGTTCTGGCTCAGTTGGGCGAACACATCTGTACTCCGTCAGACGGCCAGTTGGCAACAATTCCTGAAGACGAACAAGCCGAACCCGACAGCGAGAACATCCTTGCTAAACCTCCAGAGCTCGACAAAACTTCCAAACCCGGTAAGCTATATATACAAAAGCTCTCCTCTGATTTTTTTTTTTTTGAGTGCACATCCCACATCCGTTTACTGCTGCAGTCTTGCCGGCAATGTTACACCCGCAGGCTCTGCCGCTATTGGTAACCCTTTCGCCAATGTCTTCTGAGCGCACGAATACAATCGTGAAGAGTTGCAGTTCCAGTGCCACCTTATGTACCGGCATGAGTTTTATTCAAAGGAACCCGTGCTTCTCCAACATGTCAAGCTCGAGGGACTGCTTTCATTTTAGAGCTTTCAATCGCGGCTGTCTATAATTTTAGGTTTTCGAAAACTGACGTCTGGGCACTTGGAACAATGCTCTACCGCAGGCCACTTAAAAATACAAAATTGGTTCAAAGCACCTCTTGTACCTTGACTCCACAGAGATAAAAAGAATTTCCTCCATGAGCTCATCTATACCCCTCCTAGTCCAAATCTCTTTTGCGCTTCTCAAAACTCATTAGTATGACGAGATACCAATTTTATCTTTCTTAATCACCAGTACTGACAAGCATACGGATTTGTTTTGTTTTTGTTTTCAAGACCTCACCGAAAAACCATCCAAAGAAGCCCCCGTCACTCCCGCTCCACACACCAGAAATTCCACCGCTTCAATCGGCAAGGCTACCTCATCCAGCGGCCTGTCTACTACCTCATCCAGCAGTCTATCGACTACTTCATCCAGTAGCCTGTCGACTGATTCAACCAGCAAGTCTACGGCGCAAACCAGTAGCCAGTCTTCTACCAGCACCTCCTCACTCGATTCATTGAAAGAGAAACTTTTGAATTCTATGCGACCGGACTTGAAATCCGACCAGAGCTCATCAACCTCACCCTCCAAGATAAACATGAGTTCTCAGAAATTTAAAGCGACTGCTTCCTCTGAAGATTCATTCTCCAACTCCGAGACTTCATCATCGAGCAATTCCTCGTCTGGAAGGATGCCTTTCTTCGAAAGATATGCTCAACTGATGCCCAAAACGACGAACAACCCGAGCAGCAAAGCCACTTCGCGTGACGCTGAACGGGAGAAGGATGATGTGAGGTTTCCCGCGAAGAAGCCACTGAGTCCCATCACCTCGCCCGAGTCTTCGCCGTCTCCGTTCCAAACAAGTTACCAGTCTTCCCAGCTCCCCCAGCCGAAACTGCCCACGTCCAAGTCGATGCCGTTCTCGAACCTGACAGCACTTGGTGCAGCCAGTCAACGGCGAGAAGCGCTGACACGAAATACGACGAAGGAGGAGAGGAAGATGCCGAATTCGAGCTCTGCGGCCAGTGGACTGGATAGACTGATAGCCAGGGAACACGAGGAGCTCTCACGGACTGTCCAACACACTCGAAACCCAAGACCGCTCAAGGACACTGATCATCATCCCCGCGCACAAGTCCCAACAACAACAAGCAGCAAGTCGAGAACGCGCACCAATGACCCCTCGGTGACCGGCTTGGAAGACCTCATGGGCGACCTGATGGCCGAGATGGAGAAAAAGGCCGAGCTCAGTAGCGAGGAATATCAGAAAAGAAACCGCCAACCGGTAGTCAAGAAAATTCTTGTCCCCGAAACTACTACCCCTAAAAGCTCTAGCCCCGGAAGATTCAAGCATCGTGATTATGAGACCGATACTCCACGGAAATATCCTTCGGCATATCCAGATGGTATGTGTCACTCATCAATCTAATTTTTTGAGAAAAATCTTTGTTTGCTGACGATTTTTTTTTTTAAATATATTTTCCAGACACACCCAGGATCCATGGGAGACAACCATCAGATCCATCCAGTGAATCGTCTCCGAGTTCACCTGGAATCCGGCCGTCGGACTCTATTTCGCAGCTAGGATATACGCGCTCGCCGTCGCCCCGTCTGGCGAAGCCACTGGCGGTGCTGACGGGAGATGGGGGGTATAGCGGTGTGCGAACGATGCATGGAGATGCCGATCCGACACGTCAAGAACCCTCGGACGGACGAGGCCCGGTTCTGCGCGGCATGCTACGCCGATCGGTACCTGTCCAAGTGCAGGAAATGCGCGAAGCCGATCGAGCGGGGCGCAGTGACCGATCGGGTCGGGAAGGTCTTGGGCAAGTATCATGCGGCTTGCTTTAACTGCTTCCAATGTAATGCGCCCTTCCCGAACGGCGAGTTTTATGTTATAGAACGAAGGCCAGTTGTAAGTGCTTGCTTGATGATCTATATGTAAGAACAAAACAAATCAAACTGATACACGCACACAGTGTTCGAAACATTACCATCGGTTAGCCGGGACGACGTGTTGCAACCAGTCATGTGGCCGCGGGATCGAAGGGCCGTGTGTGTCGCTGTTTCTGGATGGCTCGCAGACGGGCTCGGTGGTCTCGGACGACTCTTCGGGCTCGAATCCGACGATCAGCAACAGCGGCCGACGGAAGCTGTACCACCCCGAGCACTTCAGCTGCTCCCGACGGGGCTGTGCGACCAGTCTGCACGAGTTCCACTTCGTCGTCAACAAGATGCCCTGGTGCGAGCGACACGCGCTTCAGGAGGAGGACAACAACCTCCCTCACCCTGGCTTGCCCCTCCTCCATCATCAGCCTCCGCTTCCTCCTCCTCACCACCATCCACCTTCCTCCTCTCGGGACCCAAGAACTCCGCTCGACCATCACAGACTCCATCACCATCATCCTTCTTCCTCCCGACTGCCTTCGGACCCTCGTGCGCCCCTAGCTCAGTCCCCTCCTCCTAGACGAATGGAACGCAGACGCACAATCATCCAGAACGTCCGCAACCGTTGAGATCTTCTTCTCCCACTGTTTCTCTTTTTGGACACTTCAATCTGTCTTGATAAGCATTCGATTTCTTGTATTTGACTTGCTCATTCCAATTTAAATATTTGTCGATCGATTGTTTAGACTTATCATCCACACCATTTGTAAAAAAAAACATCAAATGTGTTTCAAGTCGTCGTTATTTTCTCTTCTTCTTTGTTTTTGCTTGCTGTGTGATCAGATCTTACCAATCGAATCTGTTTTCATTATTTTTATTTTGTTTTCACTCCAATGAATCGTTTTTACCTGGATGTGGATGTTCTTGAGTGACTAGGATTCTAAATTGAAAATCTTTTAGATTGAGACAGGTGAGTTTTTGGAGGTGTTCTGTGAGTTCGATATCCAGGTTGTGTTTTGGTGGAGGTGAGTTTGGTTTTGCATTGGGATGTATGCAAAGTGTCTTCTTCCTCTCTTCAAGCATATCCCCACCAACTCAACTCAACTCAACCTACTCAGTACTCATACGAAGAACAAACGAACTATTTCCCCTTTTCTTCTTGAAAAAAACAACACAAATCGAACGAAATCAAACCCAGAAGAACACGACACACACGTGAGTACCATTCCATCTTCGATCTTCGTCTTCTTCTTGGAATACTACTCTCTATCCTTCAACAGAGATAGCTTTTTCTTTTCATTCTACCAAATCTTCTTCCCTTCCTCTCTCCCTCCGCTCACACCACACCCTCCCTATCCTGATTACGCATTATAAAAAAAACAAAAACAACAAACACCCGAACCAACACCAACAACAACAACACCAACCTCGAAATCCATCTCAATCGTCGCCCTCACAATCCAATCTCCAAAAATAAAATAAATAATCACTCGATCTCACTCCTCCCATCGGCAATCCTCATGTCTCATCCTGCTCATACCCTCCTCCCTCTCAACGTGGAGGACGCGTCGGTTCTCTTTCTTTTCCTCAATCTCCCTCCTTCTATCACCCGTACTGCAGCTAGTGTAACTGACCCTTCTTACTGCTACTCACTAACCTATTACTCTCGAGCTTGTTCCTTGGTCCATTACAAAAAAAAAACTAAATCAAAGGCTCTGTAGAAAAAACAACAACACCAACTAATCTCTCCAAAATTTTCTCTTCCTGCTTCCTCGGTTGATCACTCCACTATTTTGATCCGATTGCCAACGCCAACCACCAAACGACACCATCTCAATTTTTTTTGATTTCCCATTTCCTAATTTTATAATAACACATGTCTTCTGCTGCGCCTACGAATAACGAAGCCAGTCGGGCCAATAATACCAGCTCTCCTCAGACCCAGATCCGCAAACGATCGAGATCGCCCTCTGGTGCCAGTCTCGGAACGGTTCAGAAGCGACAGAATCTAGAGACTGCTCAGGACACCAAACCAGTGCTCGACCACCACCAAACCGAGCTCAATGTCGGCATGACTTCCGCCGCTCCGGCTGCAGGACCAGGCCCGTCAGAGTGTAAGTCCAAGAGTCTCCTCACTCTCCCTTCAGTTTTCGTGCTTTTGTGTTTCGTGGTGGGGGGCCCAGCAGTGTGTAACTTGTAGGGGGGAGGGAGGCATTCGTTGATTCTACTCGTTCCATAAACCTTGTCGATTCTCCCTCACCCACCTCAGACTGCATCAGACCAGCCATGTCTCTCTCTCTCTCTCTCCCCAGCCTCCTTCAACAGGGGCTGCCTCACTGTCGGCTCAATCTACCACTCTGCACTGCAGGATCCCAACCAGGGGCTAGCTAAACCCCGTCAAGACACTGACCGACCGACCGACTACTGATTAACTGTAACTGGCTGGCTGGCTGCTTGGACGACAAGAAGAAAACGCTGTTGTTGGTTGACTTTAATCCATAGAACAAGTCATTCTTCTCCAGCACTCTCTCGCTCCCAACGAGCCTTAAATCCTTAGAGCCTTGCCATCCCCGATCGATTCCTGGCAGTCTTCCTTGGTCTATCAGGACTGTCGTGCTACATATCCATCACGACTACCCGACTTCCCAACAGCCAGCCAGGGAGATTGCCTCCTTCGCTGCTCCTTCACTGTCCACCTCCTCTGTTCTTTGAAAATCTTTCTGTCGTCTCATCATCATCATCATCATCATCACCTCCTCTCTCTCTCTCTCTCTTCCCCCCCCCCCCACTCTCCTCTCCCCCTCTTCTCTCTATCTATCTCTCTGCGCCCCCGATTGGATTTGAAAATACTGCGTCAAACCGTCTCCCGTGATGTCCTCGATACCCTCTATAGTGATTGATGAGCCAAATCTTAATTCGACAGCAGTCGCTCCGCTCGCAACCGGCACCAATGCCGTCCCGAATGGGATTGACAACCCGAATGGCTCCGCGCCTTCCAACAATGGCCCCCAGCCAAACAACGAATCAGCCGAAATCCCTTCTCACCTGCCATCCGTCTCCCACGACCCCAACAACGTCCGTCCTGACTCTCAGCCACAGCCTTCCATGGGCCTCCAGCACCAAGGTACCTCTTCCCAGCAGCAGCAACAGCAGAACGCTGCCCATGCTGTCGCGGCCACTCAAACCATCCAGATGCGCGCCCTGATCGTAACTCAGGATGCCAGCATCATCATCGGCAAAGGTGGACGGTAGGCTTCCCCTCCCATCTTTGGATCATTACCTCACGTCAACCAACACGCACTGATCCTCCACCTCACACATACACATACACATACACACACACAGTCATATCAACGAAGTTCGTGAAAAGTCGGGTGCCAGGGCGACAATCTCGGAAGCGGTTCCGGGAAACGCCGAGCGGATCTTGAGTGTGGCTGGCCCATTGGATGCGGTTTCGAAAGCGTTCGGATTGATCGTCAGACGGATCAATGACGAGCCGTTTGATGTGCCCTCGGTGCCCGGCTCCCGGGCCGTGACGATCCGGTTTATCGTGCCGAATTCGCGGATGGGCTCGGTGATCGGGAAGGCGGGAAGCAAGATTAAAGAGATCCAAGACATGAGTGGGGCCCGAGTCCAAGCCTCGGAGGCCCTCCTACCCGGGAGCACTGAACGGGTGCTCTCGATCTCCGGTGTGGCCGATGCCGTTCACATCGCGGTCTACTACGTCGGGATGATCCTAGTGGACAATCAGGAACGGATGCCTGCCAACACGAGCTACCGACCGGGTGGTGGGGGTAGTGGTGGTGGTGGCGGTGGTGGGCCGGGCCATCTTGGCCATTCGGGACACGGGAGTCAGCTGGGACACCATCATATGGGCGGACGCGCTCCACCGGGGGCCCTTGGACCTGTTGGCGGTGGCGGCGGCGGCGGCGGACGAGGAGGAGGAGGGTACGGACCGTATGCGGGTGGAGCGAGCGCGATGCCTCATGGAGGACACCATCATAACGCTCATCATCATGGCGGGCCCCCATCGGCCGGCCCTGCTGCTGGTTACCCAAACCCTGCCCATCAACCCGGAAGCCAGACTCAACAGATCCTTTTATAGGACAATGGATTCGTCGGGGCGGTGATCGGGAAGGGCGGGCAGAAGATCAACGAAATCAGACAGGCTTCGGCGACTCATATCAAGATCATGGAGCCTGGTGAAGGAGGTCAAGACTCGAGCGCTAACGAAAGGGTTCGTCTCGTCTCTCTCTCTCTCCTTCTTTTTGAAATCAACATTCGGATGCAAGGCTCATCGAGAACGGCGTTTTTTTTTGCTTCGCTAGTTGGTCACCATCACTGGACAACCTATTAATATCCAAATGGCCGTCTCCCTCTTGTATCGTCGATTGGAAGCCGAAAAACTTAAGTGTTCGTCGGCATCCTTTTCTGCGCCTCATTCTCTTGATCCAACCTCGTGTACTTACTTGCTTCGCTTTCCTCTCTCGTTTGTTTCACTTATTGGCTCACTCATCGTCTCTTCTCCGGATCGTGGCTTGTTTTTTTCCTTAATTATTATACTCTTGCTTTGATCACGTTCTTTTTCTCTCTCTCTGTGTCTTCAGTTGAGAACCCTGGAATGGCAAGTGGACTTTAGGAAGAAGAACACCCCCTCCCACCCTCTCTTATTCTCTTCCCAAAAATCAAGTACAAAAATCAAATTGAACATATTTTATGACGATCTTCTTTCTTTTTTACATTGATAAATATAAAGATATACATACACATATATATATATATGTCTAAATCCTATCCATTTAAATCAATATAATATCTTTTCAACAACAACTTCAACCATCTTAATGATGATGATCATGATGATGATGATGGGCAGAGGAAGGAGAACTGCAGATAAGCGATTGACCAAGGGGTTTCTTTTTCGGCGTTGCTTGGGGGCGGCGTTGTAGCTCTTTTGTTTGGGCCTGTTGGCCGTCTCTGGATCTGTTCTCTTGAAACGTATCCAATGACCCCCCCCCCCCCGGGTGGGTGTGTAGGTCCCTGCTTCTTTCTGGATACATCTTTGCTTACACACTCGTCCCCACCACATTTCTTGCTTTTCTTTCATTGGTGATCGTCATTGGTGGTGGTGATCAATTGGTATCTGGTCTCTCCGGCTGGATCTCATCGATCTATGCGATTCACTACACATAATAGGCCCTGGAGACTTCAAGGATCACCTCCCTCGCCGGCCGGAATGCGCGCACTGTCTTCATCGGATTGTTGCTCTCAAAGCTCCTAGTCAAACCTCGTTGGATACCCTGCTATACGCAAATATTGGGAAGAACCACACAAAAAGAGAAGAAAAACGGCAGCACAAAGATGTATGTAAATCGAGTGCTTGTTTTATGAATCACTCTGAGCGCTGGATAGTCTTGGTGAGAGGAATTGAGACAAAAAAAAGCGGCCAGCTTCGGCAGTTTGATGGCCTACAAAAAAAAAACTCAAATCACCACAGTCTTCATTTCTGGAGTACATATCTGAGTTACGGTTCTCTTCCTCACATCCTGCAGGTTTCTATGTACCCCGCCAGCCCATGTGATCACTTGGCCGTGTTGGGCAATCGATTTATCCGCCATTTGCGGATCTGTATTTAAGCTCTGTTTCAACTTGCCCTGAAGAGAGACTGCAAAAGAGACCGTTATATACGACGATGCGATTGTGTGGGGCCTATGTAAAGACGCTGCAAGTAGCATCTTACTCATGTCTATCCCTGGATCCGGAGCCTTCATCGCCCAGTACCTCCTCTGCTCAGTTTCGCTGAGGCCTCATGCAAACTTCTTTCTCGAGTCCCTCCTGTTGAATATGTAGCTATTCACTACAACCCGGCCCCTGCGACTTCATGATTATGATTCTTCCTCCGGCCGGAATGCGCATTACCTCCGATTGTCGCTAAAGCTCCTACAGCCATTGTCTAGATATCCATTTAGCACTCTCATCATTCCTATGGTACTCTTTTTCAGGAATGTGCCGCAGCACATTCCTTAGGATAGATATAGAAACAAGTTCTTCCATCTACCCGAGTGTGGGTGGTAAATAAATTTCTTTTTATTTATTTTTTAATGAATTATTTCAGTAAAAATAGAAAAAGATATTTAGGGACCGTAGGAATAATTTGTGTGTCTAAAAGAAGATCATTTACTCTTCTTTATTGAGTCTATTTCAGATGCATGATTTTTATTCTAAAAAACATATGGAAGAAGTAGGTTTAAGAAACAAACTCGCCCCAAACTCCAACCTACTCTTCGCTAAAATGCTTTGCAGGGTGGGTGGGAGGTCAATAAAAATTTGTAATAAAAAAAAAAAAATTTTAGTAAGGAAAAGTTGATAATGAAATGATGAGTAAGATTGGTGATTATTGGAGGCGTAGTGGGAGAAAGTATTCTTTGCTTTCCGACAGGGTGTCTATAAGCTCATAGAATCTTTCTAACGGTGCAAAACAATTCCTATCACAATTCAGACTGGTTCGGGAATTGTTTTGTGCCTGTCTTAGGCCAATCTTATTCGTGCGCATGGATCACACCACCTTCCCTCAGTACCTGGATCAGGTGCTATACATCCATTTAGCACTCTCATCATTCCTATGGTACTCTTTTTCAGGAATGTGCCGCAGCACATTCCTTAGGATAGATATAGAAACAAGTTCTTCCATCTACCCGAGTGTGGGTGGTAAATAAATTTCTTTTTATTTATTTTTTAATGAATTATTTCAGTAAAAATAGAAAAAGATATTTAGGGACCGTAGGAATAATTTGTGTGTCTAAAAGAAGATCATTTACTCTTCTTTATTGAGTCTATTTCAGATGCATGATTTTTATTCTAAAAAACATATGGAAGAAGTAGGTTTAAGAAACAAACTCGCCTAAAACTCAGGTGGAAATTTCTATTGATGATAGGAGCCTGAGCCTAGTGACTTAAACCTTTATCTCCGATTCATCTTAGACAATGACACAAAACTAATCCTCTTTCCACAACTCATTCAACTCATCTATAATTCTTTTGCTGTTGGCTGTATCTTCTGCGCTATACTCTCTAATGTATAATCTATAACAGTTTGATACCCAGCGTCCGAGGACACAAATTTCCTCTACTGGGGTGCCCAACGCATATCGTAGTGACGCTCCTCCTACTCTAAATGAGTGCCCAAGAAGTCCTTCAAAACCGCCGGTCCTAAGTACTAGTTGAATCCTATTAACCGCGATAGACCTCGTGAGATGTTTTCGATCTCCATCTCGGTTAAAGCCAAACAAAGACGTGTTGTGTCCTTTCGCTTCTTCTATCCGTCTTTTGATCGCCAAAACTGGACATAACATATTCTTTAAGCTATGTAAGACAATTTCTTGAGGTTTCCCCGGTTCCGCTGTCTTTGCGTTTCGTATAGAAAGTATCACTTTCTCTCCGATAGCCGATTTCACGAGTCGAACGTCTGACGTTAACACGGAGTCCGATTTATTGAGGTCACCCGTAGTTTTTTCGTAAGTTAGCTCCCCCAATCTCGCCATTCCCCAAAATGCCACAATAGCAAGGTCCATGATTGCTCTGTCAGCATCGCCTCCCGGAAACATCGCGTTCGAAAGCCAGATTAAATGTTTCAACATAATCGGAGGTTTCTTCGGTTTGGTTGGCAGTGTCGCATCCACTCGAGCCGACGCCTTGAGCAACAGTTCGATCCGTTTGTCTGAGATGTCTGGGTAATCTTCGCTATGAAATGTGTGCCACGCTTTCAAGCCACACAAATACTTCTTTATGGAACTCGAAGATATTTTGTATGAATTATTTAAATAGAGATTTCGACCTGCCCAAAAGCAGAAGTCTTCTATATCTTTCACCGATGCTGGTAATTTAAATTTATGTTCGCCCGATAGATTCTTGAAGAAAATGAACTTTTTCACCGCAGCGTTGTACCCAACGATAGTATTCCATTTCCACCCCGTCAGGAGATGTGCATTTAAAGTATAAATTGGATAATGTGAAGTTCCATTCGCCGCAAATGCTTTAATTTTGTTAAAATGGCCCACTGTCAGTGGTTCATTGTCAATAATAACTACGTCTTCTGAAGAATCTATCATAATAGTTTTTATGAGGAGTTATAAATGTCTTTCTTAACTAAATTGACTAGGTGGGATGGTAAGAAGAAGTGATAATGAGAAGCGACTAATAGTCGTGAGTAAGCGACTATCTATATATCTAAGTACAACTGGATAGGCGCGTGTTCAGTCACGCATGGTAGAGGTATGTATGCCACTCTTCTGGTAGAGAAAAATAGACCCTGTTTCCCTCTTTGAGGTTCCCTGACAGGCCTCTAGACAGGTTGTCTGCGATATTATCTTTCGATTTAACCCTTCTAGCTGTCAATTCAACCTCTTCTTCTATCAGGAAGTCCTGTATTACCTTCCATTCTTCATTAACTTCCATGTCCCGTGATTTCCTTTTCAGAATTACCGATTCGGTCGTTGTATTATCTGTCCACACCAGTATATTCGATCCTTTTCGTAAACGGTTCAAGACTTGTAACATGATTAGCCCAACCCTGACGGCGACTGTTTCTAGCCAAGCGATGTTTCTCTTATTTAAACCCTTGATTCGATCTTTCAGGATTCGTAATTGACTCCAGTACTTTCCAATCACAACCCCTACTCCAAAGCTAGTTGAGGCGTCACCTACCCAACCAATGTCTACGGGGTCTGGCGAGCATACAAGTCTGCTATGTCTGAAATGATTTAGTGTATGTAGCCATCTTCGTAAATCGAGTATGACGTCTTCGGGTGAGTACCGCTTAGCGTTGAGGTCGAACCAGTCGTACATCCATCTATAAAGGCTCCGCAGGTAACACCGAAGTTGAGGTAGCATGTATGATACATGGTTTAGTCGACCAGTCAACACCTCTACTTCGTTGAAAGAGAACTTATTCGAAGTATCTAAAAACTCTAGTATCTGACTCTTTCTCTGCTCTAGTTTTGCTTCCGGAAGGCGTACCGTTTTGGTCACTCCGTTCCACAAGAAACCGATGAATTTCTGTTCTTCTGAGAAAGTCGAGCATTTCTTTAAGTTTGTCAAAACCCCTAATTCGATGGATCTCTCAACAATGTCTTCCATCTTTGTTGTCGAGTCGGGTCTCTTGATGAAAAGATTATCGTCTACCCATCGGAAGACTTTGATTAAGTCGAATTCTGAGAACATGACTTCCTTCCATGCGTCTGCTGGTCGTCCAAAGGACCCGCATCCTGCGACTCCACCAAAGGTAATTCTTGTGTCCAAATAGAGATTGCCGTCCATTCCTTTAACCATCAAATAAGGCCATTGTGAAGGATGAGTCGGGATCTGTCTATAAGCCTTTTCCCAATCAAACAAGGCTAATAGAAAAGGCTCCTTAGAATTTCTGAAGAAAGAAGAAACTACGTTGTAGTCGTCCCAAGTCGTCTCGAAGTCGTCCTTGTTTACAAAGGAATTTACAGATGGTGTCGAGATGTCTCCGTGCGGGAAAGATAAATCATTGATGGGTCTTACTGATCCGTCACCGTTAACCACTGCCCCAAGAGGGCTAGTCCTAAAAAACTCGAATTTTGTCTTTACTTGGTCTACTGTGAACGGGCCAAACATTCGACCTGCATCAATCTCCTTCCTCATAGATTCCCGGATTTTTTCCTCTGCTAAAGTTGCAGACAAGTGGTTGTCGGGGGTGAAGTGTGATACACCTTTAATACGGTGAGTCGGGATACCTTGGTCGAACCCATTCTTGAAACCATAAAGGACGTCACGGTACTTCCACAGAATTCCTGCCTTACCCAAGGCCTTTTCCCACAGGTCCAAGTTCATCTCACAGCTGACCTTCTGGGGCCAACGTGGGTACCCAACGCAATCAATCTTTTTGATCGACGAATGGCATAAATTGCCCAACTGCATATCATTGCCACTACTAATGGGTGATTAATCACAAAAATGACATAACAGAACAAGGAAAAAGGAACAAGCGAAATATCAATGACTCGTTTGACAGAAAAACAAATAAGAAGGAGAACATATTGCCGATTATGACTGGCATTACGCTCAGTTAGAGAGGCTTCTCAAACAATAAGAGAGATTATCGATTTAAGAACATCGGTCATTGCGAAAGGCTATGCCGAGGGTGGCAAGCGAGAGCGGAAAAACTAAAGGCCACAAAAAAACAAAAAACAAAGAATGACAGTAGGGCGTGGCACCTACTTGTTGCTATTGTTCTTTCTTCCGTTTGGCTGGTTGCTGTCTACCTTCCCACCAAAGTTCTCCGTGTAATTACCTCCTTTATAACCGCCCCTTGGCCTTTTTGCGCTGTTCTGGAAGCCTTGGCCCCCATTACTTCCGCCTTGGTTATTGAACCTGCCGGCGTAATTCTGATTGTTGAACTGGTTCTGGTTCATGCGTGTGTTCATGTAACCGTTGCCGTTATTGTTCATCCAATTCTGCCCGTTCATGTTTGGATTCGTGATCATGGGGTTGCTGTGTTGCGACGGTTGATACCCGTAGTTGTTTTTGGACATCTTGAGGTAACCGGTCAAGGGGTCGTGGTTGCTGTGTGAGAAACCTGGTGCGTACAGATTCTCCTCCCACTCTAACTCTCCAAAGTTTCTGCAAATGTTGTAGCACTGTTCGACTACTGATTCTTTCCGTTGGGATATGTCTGGGATAGCATTTTTCACATCTTCATCTGTTATGCGGTGAGAGAAGGTGTTGCTCCTAACTTCCATGTCGTAGCGGAACGCGACCATGAAGCCAAACTCTTCAGTTATGTCGTCACAATTGTTCTTGTGAGTCGCTAGCAACTTCGAGAATTTGATAATCTTATAGACATCGTGGAGAGTCTTTGCGAAGGCTCGATGATTCCTTGTCCACTGGGCGTACGTCTGCGTCCATTCTTGAACGAAGGAGAAGCCTTTGTACCCGCCGGACTTGTCTCTGTCTGCAGACGAGTCATCAGACCTCTGGCGTCTATCTAAGTGGTGGGCCATGGCCCTTTGTTGCCACTTCCTATTGAATATCGTCAATGGCAAGGGGGAACGCAACTTTCTTATATTCTCGTCGAGGAACGGGGCGAAACCGACACTGTTGTGGTTGGTCACGGTACCGATAGCGTACACTAGATCCCCTTCCGTTAGGTAGAACTTGTCCGGGTCTTGTACAGCCGCTTGAGGCTCAGCGGTAGGTGTCGCCGCCGTGACTGGCTTGGTGCCTAGGTAAGTCACTTCTCCGGATTCAGTTCAAGTCGGTATGGCGAATACGCCAGCGCTCGCGAGCTGCTTGGGAGCGCTCTTGCCAATGCGTCCTATCGCTTTGAACAACATCTCCGCTAGGTCATTATCGCCTGCGTCTTGCGCAGATATCGCTCTATCCCACATCTGCTGTCTCTCCGACATGATTGACGGCGCTGCAATGGCTGAGAACGGTACAATGACCCAATGTCAATCCAGATGGTTATAAAATGTGTATTGGAAAAAAGAGCGATGCTCTACCTGGGGATCTATCCTCTTCTTCCTCCTCGATAACTCGGCTCTTGGTGGGGACACCGGTCTTTGCCTTAGTGGGAGGGTATAACAATGCCGCGGGGGCTCGGTCTCTGCGGGATTTGCTCGTGTCTACTAGCAAGGAGTGCACTTCTTCTCCTGCTATATTCATCAAGATATGAAAATATTTGTTCATGCGGGTTTCAACGCTCTCTTCAACTAAGAAGGATTTCTACTAAGGGTAAAGTACTTACCGTTTCTCTCGACCCTCTCTGGCGTTCCGGTCTCTTGGGTCGTACCCAAAGGGTTTGAGATATTGCCGTTCAAGGCTCTGCCGTTATTAGTGGCTTGGGTATGCACATCAGAGCCTTCCATAGTCGAGCCAGAGCCTGTACCAGGGATTAGGGAGTTCGCGATTGACGTGTCTTCATTCCTGGTTTTTGCTGCCGAAGAGTCTTTGATCTTCTTCGAGGTGGCTCTGGTAGTGTTTACGTCGACCATTGTGTGGCGAGGGTGATGGGTGTGATAGATGGGTGTAATGAGGGTTGTGCTTTTAGCTGTTTAGTGTGTTCGGAAATGATTTGAAGAATTTCAATAAAAATTTGTAATAAAAAAAAAAAATTAGTAAGGAAAAGTTGATAATGAAATGATGAGTAAGATTGGTGATTATTGGAGGCGTAGTGGGAGAAAGTATTCTTTGCTTTCCGACAGGGTGTCTATAAGCTCATAGAATCTTTCTAACGGTGCAAAACAATTCCTATCACAATTCAGACTGGTTCGGGAATTGTTTTGTGCCTGTCTTAGGCCAATCTTATTTGTGCGCATGGATCACACCACCTTCCCTCAGTACCTGGATCAGGTGCTATACATCCTGCAGTACGTATTACAATAAATCAAGTACTACTTAACACAGACTCCGGGTGGCTAGGCAAGAGTGCTTCATGTCTTGGTGAGGAATTCGGAAAAAAAAAGCGGCCCGCTTCAGCAGTTTGATGGACTATAAAAGTCAGCTGTAAATTAAGTTACCACAGTCTTCATTTCTGAAGTATCTGTGACTCAAGGTTCTCTTCACAGCCAATTAGCTATAAGCTGCCTTGGAACCTCAGCATTGAATTTCTCAGCCCGCACCAAGAGCTTTCGCTATGTTTTACCAGTTGCTAATGGCCCTAGTTGTTGAGCCTTTTCTCCTTGAATTTCAAGTTCATGTAGGATGGCTTTCTCAGACTGACAAGGATGTGTTTGTGAATCTAGCTTGTTGGAAAATGCATTTCCATGGAGCCTGTGGAGGGCTCCAGTTCAGTTGCCCATGTAACTCAAGAAGAAGGTCTTATAACAACACTCCCAGATCTCTCACACACCATGCCAATCAATCATGACAAAGACAATCAATCTCCAGCTGCTGGATCCCCCATAACTGAACCAGAAAAATTGAAACACGAAAACATGAATGATTATCATATTGACTCTGTAAGTGATGTTTTGGATCCATTCAAGAATAATGATCTTGTGGGTTGAGATTGTTGGTTATAATTGTCAATCTATCTAGATTGGAAATACAAATCACAAGAACAGAGTGATTCATGAGCAGCAACAGGAAGGAGGCCCTTCTAGGTTCAGCCAAGGAAAGAAGTCCAATAGAGAGAGTTCATCTGTCCCTCAAAAGACTCAAAATACTTCTCAATTAGAAGTCAAAGAAAAATACAGTAGAGCATATGTAGTTTCTGTATATAAAAGACTGGCATGTGAAATTCTTGTTACTTGGCTAGCTGTGTTCTCTCTCTTTGCTGCTATTGTACTCGCAAAATCAAAATGATGCAATCAATCTGCAACTTTGTTTCCTAAATACTGACAGCTCAACTGGCACTTTCTTTGATTTTTCCCTTAGAATACTCTTCTTCTTTTGTCAAAATATACCTAGTCTCCCCTCCACACTACAAAGAGCTACACCACCTATATTTACTTGATATATGTGATGCTGATGATTTGGCAAGAATTCTGTGGTACTGTCTAAGTGAGATGTTATCAAATGTTTTTTTTTCTTCCTTTTGTTACTCATGAAGGTTTTTCACAGCCAAATCATATTACTAAAGCTCCAATGGTAGCTGGATATTGAAACATGCTGTTTAGGAGAAACCCAATCCCATTTTTTTTTTCCCTTTCTTCTGGAATATGATCCCCACAGAGTAATTATAATATTACCCACTCTGTGAGGTAAATAGGTCATTAGAGTAGTCTACACTAGCAATTATATATTTCCACCCCTCTTAGATTTAAATAAAAACAAGTTTTAAACTGTACCAATACATTTTCCAACTGGACAAAAGAAAAGAAGTTCAAAAAAAAACTGGGAAAAAATCAAAGCAAAATGATGATGTTCTTGGTAGTGAATTTACCCTACCAATTGGCAAAAGTATTAGATGCCAATGTCTGTCTGTATCTTTCAGTTTATTGAATCTCTCAAGTAATTTTCACTGATTTATTGGAGGTAAAAGATGAACAAGTCATGAAGTTTCACATAAATAAATAAAAAATAATAATTTGGTAAAATTTTCATGTAAGCTTGTAATTTGGACCACTTCAAATACCCAGATATCACATACTTTGCATTATATTTCACCTACTCATTGCGTACAAAGCTGTCCAATTTTACCCTTCCCATCTAAAACATTCCAAAGTATATTTGATTAGGAACTAGCCAGGTCTATCCAGTTTTCTTAATGTAAAAAGTGTTTTTCTTCTTGAGGGAGTTGCATGATGCGATCCCCCCCCTTTGAACCAATTCTTGCTCCTGTTGTCAATGCAAGACATGCAAACTTGGAATCTGTGCTGTACACTCCTTAGTTGGAAAAATTAGCCTTAGTGTATGTCATGGAATCATGAATTTCTCTCAGACAGAGGCTATTCTGAGAAATTTTGATGGGAAAATAGAAAACAGCTTCAATCTCCAATTGGAATTTCAATACTCCAAATACTTGATGTACAGAGAAAAATGTGATAAAACAAGAAGATGAAACAATCTGTCAATGAATTCCAATGGTAAATTAAGTATCTTTGACTGCAGGAATACTTTTTCAAAAAAACAAAAAAAACACTGATAGACAGATTATCAAATGCAAATATTAACATAACAAAAAAAAAACAGATTGGAATTCACAATTATTCCTATTTAAACTGGGATCAATAATAAATTGAAGAATGAAAATGAAAGAAGGATTATACAATGGCCTAAAATACTATCATGAAATTACTCCAATATCCCTTCCATAGTTTTCCAATTCTTTATAATTATCTGGGCTACATTTGACACAATTAATATAGACCTGTAATCCAACAATGTATGAATTTCATATACTGTCAGTTTGATTACCTGGATATCTGAAGATTAATAGGTGTCCTTGGATATTTTTGAGGTGGAAAAACATAAGGAATCTTTTCTGACCAGTCTAAACAATTGATACAATTTTTCATTTGGATCGCCTGCCAATTTGTGAAGATGCAACTGAATAAAACTTTGTACTCTACATGAGACAGGCAACTAGGTTAGCTCAATAAAAATACTCATAGAGCATTTCCAAGCTCAAAAAAGAAAAAAAGATTCACCCTTTGGTCAATTGTGTTGCTGCTTTGTTTCCCTGGCTTCGCACACCAGCATTAATGGCACCATATAATTTACCATACACTTCAAGTTTATCTGTTGCCTTCATTACACCAAAACTCCTGACAGCAAATATCACTGGTGGTATGATGTCTGCTGATGACTGATAGCTGATATCCCTTTGTGACTATTGAGTAAAAAGAAATTTTTAGCTCCCTTTGGAATGATGTGTTTGGTATCAATTAAGTGGGGGCTTCTTGACTTACAAATCTGTAAGTAACTTGGTTAACCGTCATATATACATCAGGAACATCAGGGAAAGGCTTGATGGCCTGATTGGATTTTGAGGCAACATGAATTTCCGGGGGTTCAGAAAATGATTTCAAAGACTTTGCTCACCAAGTCGCATTGTACGCTCGGATCGTAGGTTACGGAGGCAGGAAGGGGCACGTTGCCCGTGATAAAACACGGACGAACAGCTTGAGCCCATGTTTCTGAAAAGCTCCCAGCTACTCGAGAGGAAGGATTAGTGGACACCAAAAATTGCAAGCAGGATGAAAGAGAAAGTAATCCGGATAGAATCAGTCTGGTAATCCATGCTTGAAAACATTTGAGCCGAAAGAATAAAAGTGGAAAGAGGATATTAAATCAACAATTACCGATGAGCAAAATGAAGACTCGGAGATTGATCTTTGATTTCATGTTTCAAGTGAGGAACGAAAAGGTTCCGCTGCCAGAGTGGTTTATGAGATTGGTGATTGATATCGCAAACTGAAAGATTTGCTCCTTGTCTGATAAGCAATTTGAAAGTATTGCAGGAGACGATTTCTGCTCACTTATAAACCTAACTATAAACGGCTATATAGCAGAAATGAAGTGACACTGATGAAGTTGAAATTGGTACAAGGTTTGTGTGGGGTCTCGGACGAACGAAAGAGCCGGATTTATAGAGAATCCCAAGCGGGCATCGGGTTGTTAACCAACGTTCTATTAACTGTTGCCGAGAATGGATGTGCTCTTCAAGCTGCTAAGTGTCCCTGAAGGCAGCAAATTCCGGTAGACTAGTTACCTTGGGTTTAAATCTCCAGTGGAAAAGAAACTTGGACTCGGTACCTATACATAGTGCAGACTCAAAATGAAAAAAAGGAATCGGCAAACCGCAAGCCCCTTGAGTTTCGAGGAACGGTTGACTTTTACGAGATGAGTTCGATTGTTTCTAACAGACTCTTTGGGATTGGTGGCTGCAACCGGTCGCCGACGAGCAGAATTTTGCTCCGGTTTCCTGATCGTCGTCACCCGGACTGACAACTCCGGCTCGGTTTCTTTGCTCTTTCGATTCTAATAGCTATGTATGTAGCTACAAGGAAACGAGAAACCCCATTTGATGACTACCAACGCGGTCAACCGCTCCGATGTCAGACGATGTATATCCAGCCAGTTCCGAAATCCAGGCGTGTCGATAGACAAGTTGACAGGGACTGGTTGCGCTGACCTTCCCGAGTTATTTCCAACTGGGGAGCTACCGGGGATGGTTGCTTTGAGGCTTATACTTTGGAACTCATGGCCCCATGTGGGCGTCGAGTTGCTTTCGAATGATCAAACCTCAAAGGCCAATTTTGGTTTCCCAAGTCCTGGCTTTCGTGGGTGGTGACTTGTCTCCAACATAGTCTTTTGTGCTTGGTTTCCAGCTATATTTGATTCCATTTTTGCGGTAGAAACACTTATGTCCAGGAGTGAACCTTGAAATAGACCTTGAAATACGAACCCTTTCAAGTCTTGTCATGGCTATGTCTACCCCCATCAAAAAATTGTCCAATAAAGTTGATCAAGAAAGATTTGAAGCCGTCAATTCAGACGTGTATGCGTCATTTTGTGGTCTGATGTGATACATCCGCAGACAGATGAACCCCTGTTAGTTAGCACGAGTGATCGATCACAATTTTATGTTTGACAACGGTGCATTCTTTAATTTTCAATCAAACAATCAATTATCAGAAAAGATTTCAAGTCATCAAATCTGCGTGGTTTCTGGGGAAGAGAAGGCCAGACCAAGAGACAAGTTGACAGTCTACTATGGGATGTACCTTGATGAGTCAAATGTAACAATGTGCGACATTTCTCCGGCATTCATGCCATTTGTCTCTCTCTATCTCTCTGAGTCAAGCTGTGGTGTGATGAGGGAACGACAGGATGATATATTTCGATATCAGCGGAAAAAGAACAAACAGAAGGAAATCTAAAAAATACATGATCTTCGAGATCTCAAACTCTTAAAAAAATCGTGAATGGAGGATACATATATATGCTTATACATTTGTCTATCTTATATATGATGAGAGATCGCCTGTCAAAGGGCCTTTTGGCTAAGAAAGATATATGGAAGGAAAAAAAAAGATGAGGACGATGACGATCAAGTCAACGATTGAGAGGAAATAAAGAGACAGATAAGAAATCGAAACCACTGCCCGGCGGCGTTTGCGAAGGGGGATTCGATCAGACGGAGTGGTGATTCGCCGGTTAAGCGTTTCCCGCCGCGCCTCCTGCCGCGCCTCCTGCACCACCTCCCGCGGCACCTCCTGCAGCACCTCCTGCAGCACCTCCTGTGGCACCTCCTGCGGCACCTCCTGCGGCACCTCCTGCAGCGCCTCCGAGCCCGGCGTCGACCGGTGTGTCTTCGGTTGGTTTGCCATCGGCGGGTTTCTTGCCAGCGGGTTTCCCGGTGGGCTTCTTGCCGGCAGATTTCCCGTCGGCAGATTTCCCGTCGGCAGGCTTGTCCCCAGCAGGCTTTCCATCGACAGGTTTGGCATCGACGGGCTTCTCCCCATCGGCGGGTTTGGCATCAGCTTGCTTGCCTTTTCCGCTCTTGTCTTGGTCCTTCGGTTTGGGATCGCCTCCCTTCTTCTTTGGATCAGCTCCTGCCTTCGACTTGTCGGGCTTCTCGTTAAGCTATGTGTGATAAATGGAAATATGATTCGATTTGTCAGCCTGGGGGTCTGCTTTAGTTTGTAGAGGGAGAATGAATCATGTACCTTGGCAGTTAGCTTGTCGATTTTCGCTTGTTCCTGCGCAATCTTCTGCTTCCAAGTGTCGACTCTCTTCTTTGATTTAGTGATGGCATCTTCTATCCTCTTATGTTTCTCTTCTTCGGTTAAGGGTTTTGAGCCGGCGGCTTTGTTAGTCGGATCGTCTGCTGGTTTCTCTTTTCCAGCTCCATCCTTAGCGTTTTGTCCGACCTCTTTCCCTGAAGACAACTTTGGATCAGCTCCGGTTGATGGTGGTTGATCAGATGGGCTGGGGTTGGCAGGCGTCGTCCCAGGTGATGGAAGGAGGGGTGAAGGGTTGGGTGTGGTCGGGTCGGGTGTGGTCTGAGAGCCGTCCTTTGGGGCAGGTGTAGTAGAGGTAGTCTTCCGCTTCAAGAGGTGGAGGTTGCTCTGTGATAGGAAGGAGACAAGATCAGTTGGTTATTTCATTTGTAGGAGGGTGTATGCGGCTGATAGGAGAATCTATCTTACCTCTGCTAATCCATCGTGAGCAGTGATCGATCTACCTTCTAACTGCGCGATCGAGCGGGCAGATGCGGCCGAGATGAGGAGGATGGCTGTGAGTAGCTGGCTCTTCTGGAAAGGCATCTTGTATGGTTTGGTAAGTAAGGTCTGGGTAAGTGTCGTTGATAATTGTGATGGTGAGAGTGTGTATGGTACAATGGGGTGGTGGATGGTGAGATCGGATGTTGATTGGCAGTTCTTCCATCTTTATATAGTCTTGAGTGAGTTGTTTGTTTGGTGCTTGTCATGTTGTTTGCCATGCTGGTTGGTTCCAGGTGGTTGGTTTGTGCCGTGGTGTGACTCTGAAGGGATTGGTCGAAAAAAACTAAGGCTGAGCAGGAGAGGGTCCACAGTCACTGCCAAGGGGGGTTGTTATTGGTGACCCAGTCCCTAGGACCCCTCTCTCCCTCTTCTCGGCTTGGGACTTCCTTCCGATTTCAAGTCCTCCAGTAGGAAGCAACATTCATCACTACTAGGTATGATAAGACTAGTACTATTCTTATGCCACGGAGATACCTCTTCTGGAATCGTTCATTGACAGTTTTGGATACGTTTTGAGCAATGAGTGAATAGGCCAAGAAAATTTCAACAGTAATTAACAACCCAGAAACTCAATGAATTGACACCCTTTCCCAAAAACCCAAAAAGCTGAAATGAGTCAAAAGAGAAACTTCCAGCGGGCTGAGGAAGGACCATGGAAAAATTTCCAATCAAGCTTACATATTGTGAAACTTTTGGAATCTTTAAAGAAGTCTGAGCCTTAATCAGACTTCTTTTAAGGTATTCAAAGTTGAAATGCATGAAATCATAGAGTGCATAAATCATATAATCATAAAACATTTTGGCTGGGAAAGCCAAAGCTTACATAATCAGATTACCAAGATCCCCTGCAAACAAGGTTTTAAGATCTTATGATTTATGCGGTTATGATTTCATGCATTTCAACTTTGAATACCTTATTTAAAGATTCCAACCAGAATCACTTCTGCCAATAGGTAGTTCAAAGGCTCAGCAAGCAGTACTCATGAAACAACTTTTAAAAAGCAAGATGCAAAGGTTGATTGCATTGGGCCCAGCTTCTGGTCAGGATTAATTCCACATACTCAGATGATGATGATATAGTCTTGGCCAGTAAATGATATCTTGTTGCGGGGTGGATTGATGTTGTGCAACTAATTGAAGAGTCTGGAAAGTATAACCACAAAAATTGTGATCTTGATCAATGTGTTTCATTTAGTCCTGATAGTGTGGGTGGATATTGATTTGGCTGATGATCTCTTTGCAAGAAGTTTTGTGATTTGAATTTCAGTGCTTGTGACATGGCTCTTTGGGCCTTGGTGGGCACAAAGGTGGATGGGTGAGTGGGTTAGGTGAACCAAACAGGCCACCATACTAGTTGTGATTATTGTGGCTCTCCCAAACTGGCACCATTATAAATTCAAAGATCTTCTAAATCCTTCATAACAGCTTGATGGTTTATCAAGCTTAATCTGAATACGGGCAGTTATGGCTCTGAGCCTGTTGCTTATACAATGAATACTCAAATTAATCAGCAAGATTAAACTATGAGGGATTCACCTTTACTGTGTCTTGAGATTGTACAAAAAATAAATCATGTTTATCAAGTATATGTAATAATTCCAATCATTGATTGTGTGTGAAATTTTAGGCCTTGTTTGGCCGCAAATCACGATTTGTGATTTGGCTAAGGTTTGGCGCAGATTTGGACCATGCAATATAAAACAATATCAAGTTTTTGCACAAACTCCTGCCAAACCTTGACTCAAAATTACAAATTACAGACGGCCAAACGGGGAGGTATCTGTAACCGGTTACTACAGCCAATTATTTTTGTCACAAAATTGCTGATTGAAAATAAGTGGCTTGAAAAATGTCCATTTTTTCCCCCCAAATTTCAAGGAACAAAAAAATACAAATCCCTGCTATGTCAATCTTGATTGTTGTTTAACCTATTCACTCATGATATTTTGGACAGTCCCTTATGTCTGATATTTTTGATGGACTACCAGAGCCTGAGTTTTGAGTTATCGTTTTTATTTGTTTATCTGCCACATACACATTCAACTTGTGGAAGGAATCTGTCAGGACCCTGGAAACTCCCCCCAGACATAAGTGGGTAATGTAAAATCATGAATTTTGCCAAAATTCATACATCTGGGACACTGTGGTATGGCCTGTTTTGGTCCATCCCTACATGTTTTCATGTGTCTTTAAGGCTTATTTAACAATGTATGAACTTACATCATTTTTTTAATATCATAGAAGCTTGAGGACATGTTACATTTCTCACTGTTATGCACATACCCTCCTTGAATGAAGTGAGAATGTGGGAGTGAACACAATTTTTTTGTGGTACTTTTTTGAAAGCACACTCCTAGATACACCACAGGACAAGTTTTTTTGTAACCAGCCTCATCCAACAGCAAGCTTAACTAATCCTCTTGTGACAAGAGTTGTTTGCGGGCAGGTCTGGGCGGAAGCCCAGTCTTGTCAGAGAGGCTTACATATTATTACTCAAAGCTCCCATGAGGCAGGCCTGTTTTTGAGGCCTGTTTTGTATTATCACCTCTGGCTTCCATGCCTTTTTTGTCAAAATTCCATTGTAGCCTTTTTCTTGTTCTCTGCCATCTTGTTGATCTTTCTGAATTTTTTTCATTTGTATTCCCATGCAAAAAAAAAGAGAAATTTCCATTTTGCAGGCAAAAAATATGCTTATACTGAGATTGCGCTCGAGCCTCTCTGCCAAATTTGAAAATTAAAGTTCAAAATCATGAACTTTGTTGCCTATTTTCAAGTAGAATCACACACCTTTTCAAAATAAAAAAATATAGGAAAATCAAGATTATGTAGATCTTTCATCTACTAGAATCGAGAAAAAAATAGCATTATAATGAATGAGTGGTGGGGAAAGGAAGGTTTCCACAACCAAAACCGTATTTCTGCCTCACACCGGGAAAGCATTCTAAGTTTCAAGTCCCTCCCTGCGGGAGGGGGCGCTTTGCGCCCAGCCAGTCACACCAGCAAGCCTCCCACCAGGGGGACTTGTGTTAAGTTCAATCCAACAGGTGCATTGACTTGGATGCTTCAACAAGCATCCAAGTGATTCTTGCCCCAAGAGTCCATCAGATTCTCTCCAGTGGACAATCATTTAGTGTGTCCATTGGAATTGGAGCTCAAAAAAAGCTTCTGAGTGCAGTTGACTGTTGAAAACTTGCTCAAAAATGCAAGTTGGGTCTATATTGAACATTGCAGGCAAGTCAACAACAAAAACATTTTGAGTGCACACAGCCTGAAAACAGGCAAAGAAATAAATTTTTTGTCATGGTGATGTCTTTCCCCACATGACTGCGCCAGTAGCTGCAGTCACTGCGGGCAAGTTTCTGCAACAACTTCAGTGTCAAAATTTTCACTTTTTTGCAGGCTATGGCAGTTGTCACAAATGGGACTGGGGACTGACCTGACTACAGGCAAGAGTGTGCTTCATTTTTTTTTCCTATCACAGCAGCAACTCAAAGAACCATCCAGTGGACATTTTTCTGGAATCTGCCCATGAATCATCAATTGGAGTAGTGTTCAGGGGACACTCCCTGCCCTGAAAGTGCTGGACAGCTCAGATGCTGTTGAGAATGGTGTCCATGGGACATCAGAATTTTCCTGTGGGGTAGGGACTTGGGCTTGGACATACATATAAATACATAACAGCCTCCCCTAACAGTAACAAACTGAGACAACTCAAGTCCCCCTGGCCCTGGTGGGAGGCTGACTGGTGTAAATTTAACTGGTGATAAATCTGTATGCCTTCATGTGAAGTGCCCACTCCAGATCACTCCAACTCTTGGTCAACTCACATCTTGACCGAATTCCTCTGACAGATTGTATCCCTCCAATATCTAGACATTCATCGCCATGAGGAAAAAGTCACTCGAACTGAGACTAGTTGACATCCAACATGCTCTGGATCCAGTACAGCTCATTCCAGAAATGTTGTTGCCTGGAGCTGGATTTTCCAAGCATGAATCATTATCAAGAGGTGTTCAGGTTAAGCTTTCAAATCGATCCACAAACTTGTGCTAAAACAGCAAGTTCACTTCAAGAATGCTGTCTGAGTTTGAGCTTGCATATGGATTTGGTATATCCAGCGGTTTTTCTTGGAGGAAAATCCACACCCTGTGCGACACCCTTTCTGGAATTAGCTGTATGTAATTGGCAACTCAACTATCTTAACACAATCTAATCAATACACAGCTACTTCTTATTCTTTTGCACAGTCATTTTGCATGGAAGCTTGGAACATGTAACCAACGCTCAAGGAACACTGCACGCAGGCCTTTGAGCTTCAGCATGTCAACCGGCTGTAGCTCAGGAGCTTTTTCTTGCAGTGCCCAATGTGTGGCAGAACAACATTCCAATATAGCAGGTCATTTGATGGATCATGGGGGGGGGGGGCTGGGAGGCTTTCTATGGGTGTGTGTAGTGTTGTGGTGTGAGGCTGTTTAAGTGTTCTGGCTTGATATGTGGTGTGTGATTGTTACTATTGTAGCATTGTAGTGTGAAGTGACAACAGTGTATGCAAGCAGACAATCCCATCTTTATAAGCAAAAGTGTGATGGAATAGACATAGCTCATGTGGGTATTTTTTTCCAATCGAACAACATTCATCCAGTAAAAAAGAACTCAAGTGCTCCAATCTCCTTTGGTTTCTTGAATCAAGACCAGAACATGATATGAGGGTTGACACTCTGCAATCGAACCTGCATGAGGCAGGTGTCAAGATGAGCTGTGTGTTTACATCTCTGACGTTCAGGGAGTTGATGTCTCTGCTTCTCTTTCTCTCT